ATTTTCATTCGACTGTTTCGTAAAATAGACTGCGTTGACAACGAAAATTAACGTAACCAGAATCCGTTAATCAGCGTTAAGTTATGCACGTGACCAAAAAACATATGGCCGATTGGTCAGTTTAGCAACAACATTTGCGTTAATTTTAGATTAAATTTCAGAAAATAAAAATTACAACATTTGACTCCATTGAAGTCAAAAACAATCCGATGTAGCCTTGATTACGCAGCGTGTATCGCGGTAACTATGCAGCTATTTTGTTTTGTCGAGTACTTTACCAGTTTTCTATTCGACTGGTTGTCTTCGTTAAGTAGGATTTTACCAAAGAGTGAGATTATAATGCCGAACTGGTTTGTTCAGTGATGGATCATTCCATTTAATGTGCAGGGCCTATTTAATTTTAGTTGAAAACTACTTTTAGCCTGATCAAAGATTTTAAAGCAATTCGAAATGCAATTTGTGTTCTTTTTTTAGATGTTTTTTTTTTTTTTCGTATATCAAGTGTTCTAATACAAAATTGGCATCACAGCCCTCGCACTAAATTTGTATATAATATTAGACCTTAGGTCGCTTGGTATTTTGTCACTCGTAAATATTTGACTTTTTGAACGTCTTTCATCCCGATACTAGTGAGACTTCGTTGTTCAACTACATGATTCGAATATTTTTTCCCTGCATCGTGGGCTAATCATAGCTCTATAATTTAAATAGAACCAGAATTTATATAGCGCCTATCACAATCCGTAGATTATGCAAGGCGATTATACAAGGCGCTGCCGTCATTATTGTCACTGGATACTGAGTTGGCAGACCCGCACATTGTGCAACTTTTTCTGCGCCTTTGGGAGTATCCCTGGTCACTACTGCTTGCACGTCCACGACCCATAAATTCAAGGCCATACCATCCTACCAGGCATCCCTTTATACTCCTGTGTGGAGAGAGGCAAACGTAAGTAAAGTGCCTTGGGATAGGCCTGCTTTATGAATACACATGTCAGATCTGATTCATTGCATCCAGGATGATTTGGTGTTCAATAGACCTTTCCGCTTAGCTTGCCCCTTGACATTGGTTGTTAAGGTCCAAAATAAAGGATGGTTTAAACGTACGTGAACACGTGCGTTTGTGAGGACGAGCGCATTTTTCTGGTCTTTTTCTGATTATTCAGTAAACGTTTGACACGTCATGAATTGCCCATTGTTGTCACAGGTGTATTCTGCTGTAATCACAAACGTATAATTGTGTTAATAATGTACATAATGTTTTATGGTTATTCTTACCTCTGACGGATCCATGCACTGGTGTAAACCTTGTTAGTCATAATGCTATAACTCTTTGAGTAATACTGGAGTTCATATTGCGCAATTATTGATTTGGTTTAAATTATGGGAGAGAGCATAATATTTCCATCAAGACGTGTCTAGTAACGCGAATTTACCAAATTATATTGTTTACCATTGTTCTTTAAATTATTTGTAAAACGTTATAATGAACGCTTCATCAATACCAAATTTAACTCATTTATACAATATATATATAATATATATATATATATATATATATATATATAATATAAGGAAAAAAACTGAAAGATGTCAAAAATGGAAAGTGTTTATTATATAAGTTGTATGGTAACAGTTTGCTTGTACATTTGCACTTTTAGAGGCATAGGCTGTAGAACAGTTTGATCGATAACAAACCAACCAACCAAATGAAACTATTCAAAAATGTATTATGTTTTCAAAGAAGCCTGTACAGTATAGGATATATTGTTACAGGTGTCACCTAAATATACTATAATGAAGAGTGATGCAACGGGTATGCCTGATGTTTTTTCTTACTCTGGTTTGTAATGTGGATAGAAGTAGATATGCTACTAATCATACAGAAACTTCCCACCACGTAGACCTATCATAATCATCATTTAATTGAATAGGTAATGTAGATTCAGTCCATAATTTCACAGATAGGCCAAGTCAAAATGACAATAGTCAAGTAGGCATTGATAATGTCAAGATAATCGCTGTGAAGGTGTTCGCGTTTATGCTAGGATCAAAGAGATACTATAGTTTTAAAAAGCACATTTTCCTGAGCGTTATGGACCTATACACTTTCACCAACTTTTTAAAAATCGTCAAAAGTAGAATAACAATTCTTTCTGTATATTCGAATCATGTATTTTTTTTTGGGTCTTAAACGTAATACAGTGGGTTCAATGACAAGAATATTTACTTAGTAGGATGGTGGGTCGCGTCACGAAACCGATAGACGTTGTCCATAGTCCAATAAGCCTCCATTTTTGAACGGTGCAGTACCAGTCCACCACACAGAAATATCACCACAATATTTCTGGTTATAAAATAACCACTGGGAACTATCCAAGTGCTGATATTAAGGCGGTTTCAGCATGGACAAGGTAAATGTTAGTAGAGCCTCCCTTCTAAAAGAGGAATTATTACCATGCATTAATGTTACCGTACACATCTAGGATAGAATTAGGCCTATAGATGTAAGATTTATAAAAACAGACAACTTCACTTGAGCCTTTTGGGGTAGAGAAAACCTATGGAGGTAAACATCGCTAGACCTAGTGATAGAGGAACGTACATAATATTTGGAAAAGAGAAAGGAAAAGGGGCGTGGCACCTTAATCTTTATCACTAATTCAATTGGGAACATACGTTTTTCTCAAATATTTTTTATCATCTCTAATTACCACCATACCAAAAGTTCATCATCATTCATCATATCATGCGATTTTCTAATACAAGTGGCAAGTAAATAATTCCATTTTTAGTCAGTGAGAAACAGAATAATGTGTTCAACAGAGTTCAAGCAAAATGAGCTTAAATGCCTTTGTTAAAAAAATTAACCTTCAAGGAAAGTAAAAAAACAAGGCTCTGTTTAATGATTTATGCCTATGTACATAAGTACTTCATATGCCTTCTTATGTAGCTCGAAACTGATTACCAGAGTATCTAGGTCGAAAGTAAAATGACATTGTTCATAGCTAAAGCATACGTTTATATTATTTTATACTCGTTGAAGACAATTTTAGGGAATATTAAGAAGGTTGCCATTATCAGAATCGACTGTGTACTTTCTGTCCATTTAGTGTTGACTGGACCCTTTGAGGTCACCTTTTTATAACGTGATGAATACTGTTGTGTGTGGATACCATAGAGAAGGGAATATACAAATTTGCTTATAATCTTCATGAAAATCCCCACAGTGTTTATATGCCTAGTAAAAGCATCTGTAGTAGGCCTAGTATATCCTAATATACATAGGCCAAATATTGGCCTGTGTATAATTGGATATAATTTAGCCTGGATCAAGTCCTTAGAAAGGCTGGAAGCCTGTTTGTATGTACAGAGGATACGGGTATTCAAACAGTACACATGCTTAGCATAGCAAGCGCAAGCTTTAATCACAAAAGTTTAAAAAACAAACTCAGGCCATATAGTTGTTTATACCATGTAGTTCTTTTAAAATTATATTTTTTTTTAACAGCAAACATCGTAGGTCTAGTTGTTTCAATGTAACTTAAAAATAAAATTAAATATAATTATTGTGGCTCATCATCTTATGTAATATAATGTAATATTAAATTGAGAATTTGTCTTGTGGCGTTTTAATGAACATTTTGTAATTTGTTATCTGTGGACAATTTTTTGTAATGATTTTAAAAATTTGTTTAGGCTATTGTAGTGTGCAGAACCATTTTGTAAAAACGGGTATTAACATTTAAGTAAAAGTTAAAAACTTTAAATTAACTGAATAAATAAATATATAAGATCATCATTTATGGTCTTTTGCATATGTGCGCTAACAGACGTTTAGCAAGTTCTATTATATAGCAAACATTGCACCCGACATTGCATTGTCCTGTCTGGTTCCCGTTTACATGTTTTCCACAAGCCAATTTTTCGAGAGCAACATATTGTCAAACCATGTTTACCGTCATTGGTGAGTAATATTTGCTGTTGAATGCAAAAGATTTTTAACTATCATTCTAAACGTCTTAGCTAAGTACAAAGCATTTGTACGAAAAACATTTCGATTTAGATTGCCTGCCTGGTAAGTAGGTACGACGTATGCCCGCCTTTGTATATTGTAGTGTGCAGAACCATTTTGTAAAAACGGGTATTAACATTTAAGTAAAAGTTAAAAGCTTTAAATTAACTGAATAAATAAATATATAAGATCATCATTTATGGTCTTTTGCATATGTGCGCTAACAGACGTTTAGCAAGTTCTATTATATAGCAAACATTGCACCCGACATTGCATTGTCCTGTCTGGTTCCCGTTTACATGTTTTCCACAAGCCAATTTTTCGAGAGCAACATATTGTCAAACCATGTTTACCGTCATTGGTGAGTAATATTTGCTGTTGAATGCAAAAGATTTTTAACTATCATTCTAAACGTCTTAGCTAAGTACAAAGCATTTGTACGAAAAACATTTCGATTTAGATTGCCTGCCTGGTAAGTAGGTACGATGTATGCCCGCCTTTGTATATCAGAGTCAAGCGTTGAGTCATGCAAATGCGATCTTAGGTTGTAGGTTCCGCTACTCGTCCACTTCTACATTATTTTTATGTACGGAGAGCGTTATATAAATCCTTATAATTAATTATAATTATTGTCATTATTATTATACATATAGTTTAATATATATTACTATCATTAACATCATCATCAAAATCATTAACATTATCACTATCATTATTATTATAAATAATTGTTATTATTATTGTTATTATTTTTATTATTATCAATATTTATATTTATTGTACCTAATTTCTGTTCATTTTTTAAGACTGCTTTGGAGATGACGAGCAATAATTCACCTCATGGCATAGATAATGCAGGTGTTGATAGTGATGACTGCAATCAAGAATCAAATGACGTCCCAAAACCAGTAAGCGGACCCCAGGAGTCATCTGGCTGTTCCAATGTAAATACTATAATCCATTTAATGTGTTTAATTAATTTTTAAAACTTGTTGAACTTTAAAACACTTTTTAAAGAACCATGTTTATTCCAAGTCCAAGTCTATAATTTCTAAGGAAAATATTATAGTTTTTGCTAATAACAATTAGCAAAGCATTTGTACGAAAAACATTTCGATTTAGATTGCCTGCCTGGTAAGTAGGTACGATGTATGCCCGCCTTTGTATATCAGAGTCAAGCGTTGAGTCATGCAAATGCGATCTTAGGTTGTAGGTTCCGCTACTCGTCCACTTCTACATTATTTTTATGTACGGAGAGCGTTATATAAATCCTTATAATTAATTATAATTATTGTCATTATTATTATACATATAGTTTAATATATATTACTATCATTAACATCATCATCAAAATCATCATCATTATCACTATCATTGTTATTATTATAAATAATTGTTATTATTATTGTTATTATTTTTATTATTATCAATATTTATATTTATTGTACCTAATTTCTGTTCATTTTTTAAGACTGCTTTGGAGATGAAGAGAGGTTCTCATAGTGATGACTGCCATCAAGAATCAAATGACGTCCCAGTATCAGTAAGCGAACACCAGGAGTCATCTAGCTGTTCCAATGTAAATACTATAATCCATTTAATGTATTTAATTAATTTTTTTAACTTGTTGAACTTTAAAACACTTTTAAAGAACCATGTTTATTATCCAAGTCTAAAATTTGTAAGGAAAATATTATAGTTTTTGCTAATAACAATTAGCAAAGCATTTGTACGAAAAACATTTCGATTTAGATTGCCTGCCTGGTAAGTAGGTACGATGTGTGTCCGCCTTTGTATATCAGAGTCAAACGTTGAGTCATGCAAATGCGATCTTAGGTTGTAGGTTCCGCTACTCGTCCACTTCTACATTACTTTTATGTACGGAGAGCGTTATATAAATCCTTATAATTAATTATAATTATTGTCATTATTATTATACATATAGTTTAATATATATTACTATCATTAACATCATCATCAAAATCATCATCATTATCACTATCATTATTATTATTATTATAAATAAATGTTATTATTATTGTTATTATTTTTATTATTATCAATATTTATATTTATTGTACCTAATTTCTGTTCATTTTTTAAGACTGCTTTGGAGATGAAGAGCAATAATCCTCTTCATGTCATAGATAATGCAGGTTTTGATAGTGGTGACTGCAATCAAGTATCAAATGACGTCACAGAACCAGTAAGCGAACCCCAGGAGTCATCTGGCTGTTGGAATGTACTATAATCCATTTAATGTATTTAATTAATTTTTTAAAATTGAACTTTAAAACACTTTTTAAAGAACCATGTTTATTATCCAAGTCTATAATTTGTAAGGAAAATATTATAGTTTTTGCTAATAACAAGTTCGATACATATTAAAGTTATAATAAAACCTTTATATGTGTTTCCTTTCACAGATCATAAACTCATGGTCTAGCTCATTTTCTACATTCTTAAACAAAAATAAAACCATAATTGGGAACGTAACGAAGACTATTTTCCTAGTAGCATATATTGCATATTTCTCATACGCATGCTACTATGACTGGGAGAGTGCGCAGATTCTAGCAATATGGACCGGAATCATTGCTTTTGTGTTACTTTATTCTCTGATACGAGACACCTTCGGAAAACAGATCAACAAAGCCTGTTGTAAGCCCATATCCAACAAATGGCAGGACAACTGGAGATATATTAAATGGTAAATATAAAAACTATAGAACTATTTACAGACGTGAAGCACACATTAGTGTAAATGGGATATAGGAGGCCTATGGTATTTATGGTAAAGGCATTCCTTTTTCGTGAATTCCTTTGTGAAACTGTCATTTTCTTCTCACCTATAAAGGCATTATTTTTTCGTTAATTTCTTCGTGAAACTGTTATTTTCTTCTCACGCAGGCCGTTGTTTGGTCTCATCATTGCTGGACTCATTGTTGCTTTAGTGTTTTTAACCCTGGGAAGCCCAGAACAGCTTATTTCTGCCGCCGGGCTGGTAATATTTGTCTTACTCACCTTCCTATTCTCGAAACACCCACGTCAGGTATGTTGCTACTATTGTATTTGAATTGATTTGTAAATTGGTTATTTCTTTAACCATTTTATTAACCGAATTATTAATAAAGCTACATAGTTTCAGAAGACATACGTCTTGATCCTATGATTTGTATGTTGATTTTTTTACAGTCGACATAGGCATGCGCACTTAAAACAACGAAAAGAATGATTGAGTTAAATGACACAAACATTGTTGAAATGAAATATCAAGAACATTCCAGAAATACTAACAAATGTAAACAGCCTTTATATATCGTCATATTATATTATAAAAGCTGATGACGATAAAGGTAGTGCATTTATATTGCGCTACTAATGTCCACCATTCTAAAAATTCTAGCATCTTCAAAAAGTAAATGATTTATATTAATCACATCTTCTGACACCTTATTCATTAAAAAAATAAATTATTTTGGTCATAATAAATAACATACCGATTGTTATGGCTTGCTAAATAAATATTTTATATTTTACTAAAGTTCTATCGATTTTTATCAAGGTAAGTTATTCACTGGACTTTAATATTTAAAGCCAGGCTCAGGCAAAACTTTTTTTTTTATATGCTGTAGAACTGATTTTGGTCGACGAGATCTCAGGAACGGTTGATAAGATATAGATTTTTTAATATCTGGAAACTTAGGGACAGGTAGAAAAAGGAGTGGTTACGTCCATTTTCCCTCAATTTTTAAATATTGAAAAATCAATATCTATGTAACCGTTCCCGATTTTTTCGTCAAACAAACACTTGTGTCTTGCAAAAATCAGTTCTACAACATATCAACATTTTTTTCCTCCAGAAGTTATAGTTTGAGTAATCGCAGGAATAATGGTATAATTTTATCAATAAAAGTTAGGAGCTAATTTTCTTTAAAAACTGATTTTATTCAGGTAAAATGGCGCCCAGTTCTTTGGGGTTTGATGCTGCAGTTTTTGCTTGGCTTGTTTGTCCTTCGCACTGATCTTGGGTTCACCATATTTGAATGGTTAGGTGACATGGCAACCATTTTCCTCGAATTCACCGATGTGGGTTCCGAATTTGTATTTGGTGCATCTTATGAGGAACATTTTTTTGCTTTCAAGGTAAGCCATTATTAAATTATTTGAATTTTGGTGTGAACGTGTAAATATAATATTTCTGTGCTTGCATTGATTTGTATAGCGTTGAATCAGCAGGAAAGTGCTATATCCAAATAGAGAGACTATCTTGCTACTTCGCAATCTTCAGTAAAAGTGCAATTCCACAGTCAACACTAAACCAGTACCTGCTGTTATTGGGAAAATTCTGCTTTAAAAATGAACACCTTCTTAATAGGCTATTCTTTCTTTCTATAAAAGGTCCTTCCAGTCGTCATCTATTTCAGTAGTGTGATATCGGTTTTGTACTACCTAGGAGCCATGCAGGTTATCATAAAGAAGATAGCTTGGTTGATGCAAAACACGATGAAAACTTCAGCCAGCGAGTCTCTTAATGCTGCTGGAAACATATTTGTTGGGCAGGTAAAATATAAAACATTGACCTAAATGAAAAGATCTTCATGGGCATTTTATTATGATTGATAATTGATGATTTTATACAATTACTTCTATCACTTGATATGATTGGCCATGCTGCTAATACGTATGCTGCTGATAGGTTTGACTATCGTTAGAGTTTAAACCTGCTCGTGTAACCGGTAGATGAGTAGTTGCTGATGCAATTTAACGCTGCAAGTAGTTTAAACACATGATGCTTCTGTTACAGAGTAACCGTTTACGGATCTAGGAACTTTGGAAATAAATTTCAAATTGTATGTTTTAAAGTACCCAAAATAAAACTCGTTTAACTGCCCATCAGAACCTAAACCTGATGAACATATATCCCAACAGGGTTTGTTTTTCTTAATTCTCAATGATAGACAGAAGCCCCGCTCCTGATTCGCCCATTCCTTAAGGACATGACGTTATCAGAACTCCATGCTGTCATGACTGGAGGGTTCGCAACCATCGCTGGCAGCGTCCTTGGAGCATATATCTCATTTGGTATCGATGCATCACATCTAATCAGTGCGTCTGTAATGTCAGCACCGGCTGCTTTGGCTATAGCCAAATTGTTCTGGCCAGAAACTGAAGAATCGCAGACTGCCACTGAGGACCAATTTGATATACCAAAAAGGTTTGAAGAAACCAATAAGAAAATATAGGCAAAATAAGCCTACATATCACACTTGCCTACGAGAGTGATTTTTTTTTTATCAAATGACAATGAAATGATAAATTAGTGAATAAATGTCATTATTACAGAAAACCTGTACATAATTTTTGTGTCTGTTCCCTCGCCCTATTTTAGCGAAGAAAGAAATGTAATCGAGGCTGCATCATTCGGTGCTTCGACAGCAGTGTCTCTTGTAGGAAATATTGCGGCAAATTTGATTGCGTTCCTTGCCATCTTAGCCTTCTTGAATGCCCTGCTCACGTGGTTTGGTGGTCTTGTAGGGCTTGATGATCCGCCTCTAACTTTCGAGGTAATTTTAAGATTTTTCCTTAGTTTAGGCCCACACTGTATACTGATGTGCATTACAGGGAGGTATAGGTCTAAAGCAGTAATATTTATAGTGCCACTTGTGTCAATATATAAATACAGAAATTGGTTTTGCATGGGTATGCTATGGAATTAATTGTATCAATAAGATAATATTGCAATGAACTGTATGTTTGGTACAAAAGACGATTTAACACATTTTTATGGACAATGTTGATGAATTAAAGATAAGGTACCGTACATTTTTATTACATAGATGTATGACAAAGACACAAGATAACAGGTGGCACCGCGAAAGATTAGGCCTATGACAGTTTCGGAGTGAGTATGTCGTATTTAGTTTTGTATAGTCAAAGTAGGTAACGATTTTGTTTTTTTTTTCTTCTGTAGCTAATCTGTTCATATGTGTTTGTGCCAGTGGCGTTCATTATGGGCGTCGAGTGGGAAGATTGCCGGGAAGTTGCCGAGTTGATTGGCGTCAAGACATTCATTAACGAGTTCGTGGCCTACGAACGTCTTGCAGTTTTAATAGAGGAGGGAGCATTATCGGTATGCTACAAATTGATGTCATCAATTCTAATCAACGTTGCAAACGTATTTTGTAAAATATATTTATTTTTTAAAACTTTATTTTAATTTTATTCAGGTATAAAAAACATTACAAAAAGCAGAACAAGTCTGAATTTATTGTATTACAAGATGATAAATAAATACATAGAATGAGAAATATCAAAAAACAAACATAAATTTATGTATTCATATAATTTTCTTCAGTCTTAGCTTGTACAACTTATGTCTACCAATATTAGCACGTCATTCCTGTCCTCAGGACATATAGAGTAAGGTTAACACAAAGTCAAAGTGTCAGTCACATGATAGAGAAAATCTGATATAGCTACCGGCCAACTCTAAATTCTTATGAAGCATCTACAACCATGGTCTTAAGTTAACAAATGTTAAATTCTCATCCGACATTTTTTGTAACAAGAGTAACAGTGCCTTGTAAGAATAGACCGTTGAAGAATGTACATATCATTGTTGAACATTGCCATTCTATATATATTATATATTAATTCTTGTGGTACACCACGTAGAAAAGAACTGTATAATTGGTTGAAAATAACTCGACGTTTCGATTGAGTTGCTTCAATTGAATTAACTAATTGATTAATAACAAAAGGTCGCCCCCCCCCCGCATGTTACACCCCTGAATTACTAGGATTAGGCCTATTTACTTTTATTGTATTGAATGTATTGTTTAATTTTTCTGAATAAATGATAAGAAAATAAAATAAAATTTCAAAATGTCACAAATAACATACGGTATGCACCTATTGCATAATAGTTTTCTCAATGAAATACGAATTAATTTTAGATACACTAATTTTTTACAACAAAATAATAATAATAATAATAATAATAATAATAATAATATTATTATTTAACATAAAATATTTACTTAATTTTAACAGAAACGGTCAGAGATCATAGCAACGTATGCTCTCTGTGGGTTTGCTAACATAGGGTCAATTGGGATCCAACTTGGAGGGCTAACACCAATGGCACCGGAGAGAAAAGGCGATCTTGCTAAAGTTGCAATACGCGCCCTCATCGCTGGAACAACTGCTTGTTTTATGACAGCTTGTATTGCCGGTA